GATTTTTATTCTGATTTATGTGAATTTTTAACAGTTAAGGCAAAAGCAGCAGCACTTCTTAAGTTGTAGATGGTTGAAAAATAAACTCTTGCACAACAGTGCGAAGCTTGCTGGTGGAGTTTGCAGCTAAAATGAGAGCAAAGGGGAAACTAGTTAGTATTGTAAATACTATATTTATTAGCGTGGAGGGGCATCAGTAATAATTCTGTGGAAAAATCACCTGCTGTGAGTTTGCCCCCTTATTTGTTTGTGCTATCGAGCACAAGAAGGAATAGCCACACGCACATTCCCAAAAATGATTTGGTGTAATACACTGTAAACCTCTTTAATTGGGTGATGCTACAAAGAAGAGATATTGCACATCAGTGAGAGAAAGCCAACAATCTGCGTGTGTTTCTGTATTTGTAATATTCTACACACAAACATCCAAAGGAGGGACAAAGAATGTGTTTTTTTCATGCACACATCCAAACCCATTAGCTGGACTGAAGGGTTCTGGGATACTTGCCACCTACTAGGGTATAGTAACGTGTGTGTGTGTGGCTTTGTCAGACAGTTTGTGTCTGTTTATGTGTTGGTGTATGTGTGTGCGTAAGAATGTGTGTGTGTGTTTCTAGGATAATATCTAATTTCCTGCTTTGTGCACAAGGAAGGGTTTCTCTGTAAGGAGTCAGCAGGTGTTTAAAGTCAAAACTGATTCCTAGAAGTGAAATAACAGTAATGGATACAGCTGACAAACCAAAAGTTAAGGATGATTGATTGATAGAGGAGTAGATGGGAAGACTGTTGAATGGAAGGATGAACATGTGCTAGGAAATAGTGTGTGCAGTGCTTGTGTGAGACTTTTAGAGAAATGGCTTAACTCCCTTCTGACTCAATCTAGTTTCACTGGCAAATCCCAACTGCAGGCTGACAGCAATTTCTCTAAAACATTTTTTGTGTGTGAAAAGTGCAAAAACTTTTTGGATGTCTTGAGATGATCTCATTAGTGTTTATTTCCGCACTTTGTTTGACCTTGAGTTTTTTTTTATCCTGGAAAAGTTTAAAGTCAAATTTTAAAGACAAGGTTCACAGCTGAACATTTGTGTAATACAATGAATCATAAAAAAAAAAAAACCTTTTGATAATGTGATCTGCCCACAGTATGTTATGTAAGTGTCAGAATGATGAAGCTGCATGAGAATATGGAGATTATGGAGCAAAGGATAAAGTGACCTCAGAGTAAAGGAACTGGGCTGGGAGTTGTGGTGAGTGGTTTTGATAGCAGGAAAGGGATGAGAATTTAGCATATAAAAGCCAAAGAACTGACGAACTCTTGGCAAAAGGAAGCTCTCTGGGAAATACCAGTCATCTCAGATAGGGGGACTTAGTTTTAAAGTGGAAATATATCCCATGCTGACCCAGAGACTGTGGAAAGATAGCTACATACACGCATATATACAGAAAGACAGAGCATCTTCACTGACAACTTAAAGGATATATGCAAATATCAATTGCTACTTATTCCAGTTATGTGTCAGCACTAACTGGTGCAAAAAATCAACATTGCTACCATAGGATATGCACCAATATAATGATGCATGTGCAATATATACCATATAAACACTTTATTAGGTATACTGCTCCAATGTAATCAGGCCTACAGAAAACATGCAATAAATTCTGTCTGTGCTAAGCAGCCTTTCCACATAGTGTCATGCAAATGGTCATTCAGTTTGAGCAGTCGACTTGCAATCTTTAAAACATCCAGCAATCTAACAGTATATGTGGTATAAAAAAGTATAATAGGCCCATGTTAAGTACTAAGTTTAATATATGTGCAAGAATGCCTTTGGAGCCAAAGGTTTGAGCTTTAGACTGCTCTTAATCCTTAGTTTCCATCATGATGTCAAGAGAGTGGGTATCATTAACGCGATCATCTCAGCCACACAGCTCTAGCTGTGATCAGTGCAGTATCTCCCACGCAGTGTTCAAACCTGTTTGCGAGGGCCATCCAATCAGAAGAGACTTGGCTTCAAGGCAAGGCTGGCCTTGAAGGGAGACAGAGGATGAACTGAGGGTGCAGATAGATAAGGATTATTTTGAACTGTGGATCCTCCACAGCTTTTCTAGTGGAATACAAAAATAAAAAATATTAAACTGGTACTGAGCATAATAGGTCTTCCATAACAATTCAGTTGTTCTGCAATGCATTCATTTAACTAAATTGGTTAACTAACGACTGTATTACAATAAAAATTGGTAGATGGTTATTGATTTTTCTTTGATTAGATGATTAATTGTATTAAGAACAATAACTAAGTTATTAATGGATTTGTCCACTGGCTCATGAGTCTGTCAGTCCATGCATTTTTTTTTTACCATACAGCAACCTCTGCAAGTTTCTTAGCACAACAAGTTGCAGCTAATGTGTTTTAGATGTGGAAATCACAGGGGGAAATCATTTTTTGAAGCAAGGAGGGATTAAAAAAAGAGAGCACAGTGACAACAGAGCCGGGATTTCACAGCACTCTGAAAGCAGCCGATCTCTGTATTTATGTAGGGGAGCAAGGAGCCACACTCTGTACAATTTTTTTCCTGTTTATTTACATGAAGAACAAAGAGAGGGTTACAGATTTATGGAGATCACAGTGCAGAAGTGCCGCAGTTGAAAATAATCCATCCAATCCTCCTGGAGAATGAGAGCAGGTGAGACTCTGATGCCCTGTGGACTGCATTGCCATTTTCCTCCCTGATAGAGGACTTTTAAATCTGAAATAAAACATTTGCAATTGCTTTTGTAGGTGCTTTTGTTCCAGCAATAATCTATCCATGTATATGCAATAAGCTGATTAATAAATATCTTATTTGCATGTCTATTAGACAGAGTGATTAACGGGATAAATCAAATTAAACAACAGATTAATCTAATGAACTTTTTTGTGCAAAGCTTGTGTAAAAGTTGTAAAGTCAATTAAAGTGAGTCACTCAGGCCCCTTAAACAACTTTAATTCTGTGTTTGGTGTTATGGGTTCAGGCAAGCAAACAAGTGTGCGACTGATTAAGTGGCATATTGTATACTGGGTACAGTATGCCGAGGTATACTGACGCAGATCTGGCAGCTCATGCAGCTCATGCAGCCCTCTGATCTATTTAATGTTATTTCAAGTATTACAGGGATGAGAGTGTCACCTTTCAAATGTATCTGCTCTGATCTATGTGTGTAGTCTGCATTTAACTGATTATTGCAAACAAATTAGCAAATTCATTACCACCAAACAGGAAATAACTATGCCAATGAATGAGCTTCAGACTATAGCTCAACACTATGGAACTGAGCATTTTGTTAACAAGGTATGTCTTTTGGAACCAACCAGTGTAGAACAACTTGAAAAACAACATCAATTATTCACCTTAATAGTGAATTTGATTATTTATTCTCTGACAGTAATGTCTTCAGACACCTGCTGAGTTCAATATTGACTCTCTTTTTATCTTGTTTCTATTCTGAGACTCTTGAAGAAAATATTTCAACTGCTATTAAAACCAACATGGTCTTTCATTCATAATTTGAATACATCAGCGTACGAATAAAAAAAGACTTTTATAACCTTTCATGAACATAAAATTAAATAAGACTGAAACTAGAATTAGAAATATAAACTGGAAATTTGCAGATTCTGGTGAAATTGCCATGTTACTGCCGTAAGCTGCGACTTGCTTTCAGGAGTCAGCTAAAAGCACAGACGGAAGTTTTACATAATAATAGTCTTGTAAGCAACCTGATGGTGGTGCTGCGATGAAAGTGGGTTGGATTGGATTGGAAAGTGCATGTATGACAGCATTAAAGAGTTAACTGTTAAGAATGGGACTGTGTTCTTTAGCCTTTAGTTAATTCGAGTATCAGAAATTTGCATCAAGCAATATTTGTTATTGTACTTTGGCAAACCTTAAATTTGGCATGGGTGTAAAGACTAGCCAGACTACTGATAAAACTTTTAAGTTCAAGAGTTATAGGCATTTCACTTGATTTGGCATGATATCTCAAATCAAAGAGATGTGCAGAGAAGACTGGATTCAATATAAAGACCGGCACTGCTGTTTCATAGTTGGTTACAAACTAACGTGAGCTCATAAAGTTTGACATTTTGAGCAATCATGGTTTTAGTGTGCTGGAATAGTGGCAACTGAAATTCATTGGACACTTCATTGGATACACCTTGCTAGTGCTAAGTTCGAGCCTTTCTCTCTTTGGAAGTACCTTAATTTTTCATATCTGAAAATTTCCTCTCAGGTTTTGGTCTAAATTGGTATGATGGTATCACACAGGTGCTGCAAATTTGTGGGTATCAAATCTGTGATGTGAATCTCCTGTTCCACCACATCCCAAAGGTGCTCTGCTCAAACTGGATCATTTTTGTGCCAAGAAAATATTCTCCACTCCATTACACCATAACTACCACTAAGTGTTGGTAGAAGGCTGGATGGATCCTTGTTTTTCTTGTTGTTTACACCAGATGTTGAAACTCATCAGACCAGCGAGCCTGTGATAATCTTAGCCTCAGCTTCCTGTTCTTAGCTGACAGCAGGTGTACCAGGTGTGGTCTTCTGCTGATATGGCCTGTCATCTTCAAGGTGCAACATGTTTGCATCAAGAGATGATATTCAGCATACCATGGTTGTAATTCATAGTTATTGGAGTTACAGTTTCTTTCCTTTTGCAGCTCTAAGGAGCATGGCCATTCTCATCAGACATATGGCATTTTTATTTTAAGAACTTCCACTTATTGAATTAAATAGTTTCTCTTTTTTGGGTCATTCTCTGTAAACCCTAGTGATGATTTAGAGGGGAAATTTCAGTAGATTAGCAGTTTCTGAGACACTCAGACCAGGCTGTCTGGCACCAAAAACTATCCCACAGTCAAAGTCACTTAAATCACATTTTTTTCCTTATTCTGATGCTTGTTTTGAACTTTAGCAGGTTGACTTGACCATGTCTACAAGCCTAAATGCATCGAGTCACTGCCACATGACTGGCTGATTAGATATCTGTGTTTAATGAGCAGCTGAACAGGGGTACATAATAAAGTGGCAAGTCAATGTAAATAACAGGGCGCTGGGGACTGTTTATCAGCCAGTGTTTGTTACTTAATTTTATGTTAGGGGCAAAGTTCCAAAAAATCAGCAGTTTTGTTTGTAGCACTGCTACGGTTGGAAATAAGTTTTCCACACTGGCAAGGATTTGTTAGCTGATTACAGATTAACAGAACAAAGGAACCGAATTCAAACATGTCAAGTGTATGAAAACAGTTAAACCAGCTCTGACCTAAAAGGCAGCAAATGAATCTTAAATGTACTATTTAGAATAAAAATGTCGATTAGAAGAAGAGTAATACGAAATGCGTCACCAATGGTGCAATACATGCAATGCTGCATTACTTGCATAAAGCGCTGAATTGTTTTTACCTCTGGAGGTGGTCCAGCAGATTTAGAACTTAAAGCCAGTTAGGCCGTACATTTTGGAATAAATCTATTTCATGCTTCTCATTTTACTTTCTTTCTAGAAAGATGCTAAAATTGGCGAAAGGTTTTCCTCACAGCAACAATACTATGAGACTGCACAATTTTATTGTATCAGATGAGGTCCTAGTGGTAATCAGCCACCATGTACTCATTGATCTGTCTAGGTCATTAATCAACTGCTGAAATTCTGAATCACATAAATTCAACAAAGGCGTAAACTAAATTAAATGTTGTGGTGCTGAGTAGGTGAAGGGCTCTTTTGAAATGAACTGCAATTCTTAAAGTGACTACACATTTAAAAAATGTGATTAGTTTTATTTATAGAAACAGGTAAGTGGAGGTTATCCATTATACACAGCAAACTATGTTAACTGAAGACAAAAAGTAACTACATTTGGATTTATGAACCCTTCTCTTTTTCCTGTTTCTTCCTCTGCTCTTCTGTTTTATTTCACTTCCTTATGCCCATCCTATTTCTTTCTTTTTCACCAACATCATTTCTCCGCTATCCTCATGTTGCTTTTTCTCACAATATCATCAATTCCAAAACCAATCATCTGATGCTGTGTCTCTCTTGCTATCTGTCTCCCATATATAAAATCCAACTGATTCCCATCGACACTTTGTCCTCCTATCACAACATTTTTATTCCCTCCTTTATTTCCTTCTGTTTATGTTTAACGGTCCCTCCTCTCTATCTCATATTATTTAATTCCACTGCTTTTGCCATTTTCTCATCCATTTATCTTAATCTCTTAAATCTTCTCCTCCTGTCACACCTATTCACCTCGTACCTTTTTAAATGCACTCCTCCACTTTTCAAAATCACATTTTTCCCCGTTTTTTTCTGTTATTTCAACTTTTCCCCTACAACTTTTTTTTTACCTTCCACTCCATTTGCCAATTCAACTCCCATTACACCTGTCCTCCTTTTACCAACTTTTCACAGAATCCTCTACATTTCCAAATGGCGATGCGAACTGTGGAGGCTCCACAATCCCAGCTGCTCTACACCCTGCTGATGATGAATGGCTGGTGGGACATCAGCATTCTGCTCTGCCAGGAATGGAATATTAGTGACTTCCTTTTCCTCATCAAAAACAACACCCGCTTTCACCTGGGCACTCTTGTCAACCTGACAACTATTGCCTTAACCTCTTCAGTATCTTCATCTGCACTACCAACCTCAGCGGTGGCATCAGGTATTGCAACCTTACCCTATTTTTCCTCTGCTGCCTCTGCTTCTTCTTCATCCACTTCTTCTAAATCAGACCAGCAGCAAACTCTCCTGCGACAGCTGGAGACCCTTAGAGAACACTCAGCCACAACAGGATTGGTGACATTTGGGTGCGACATTCGCGAGGTGCGACGTTTGTGGACGCTGGTCACGCGGATGACGCTTCCAGAGTTTCACTGGGTCTTGGGAGACAGCCAGAATGTGGCTGAGCTGAGAACAGAAGGGTTACCCCTGGGGTTACTGGCCCATGGGGTCATGGGATCCCCTTCTCTGGATCACTACGTCCATGACTCATTAGAACTCGGAGCGCGTGCCGTGGGCAGTGCTGCCCAGGATAATCCTGCCTTGGCACTCATACCAGGGACTACCAATTGTATGGATAAACAACAGAGCAATGGGAGCTCGGGGGAATACTTGGCAAGGTAGGGAATATACAGATACAAAGTTTCATGCAATGTCCTCAAACTCTAATAAGGCATTCTATAAGCACAACTCACTTCCATAGAGTGCAGTTATTATTCTGCTACTGTATCGGGGGGAAGAACAGTCAGTTTTGTTTTGTTTTTTTATATTTGCTTAGGCCGATCACTAACATTTTTGGTTGTGCAACATTTATAAAATGATGGTGGGGGCGAGTCTTCTGAAAAGTGGGTGAGAGCACGTTTTGTTGGAACATTTGCACATGGGGAAGCAAGCATTCATCATAATGACACAGCTCTGTGGAGAAATGTCTGGCTGTGTAAGATCAGGTCTTTGTAGGTCTTATAGCCATTTGAAAGAACCTAGCAGGCCAGCCGTACTGCATCCAAATCTGGATGAGAACTTGCCACTTTCAGTGTGTAGGCTGTGAGGACACATGTTGTGTTCTGTAATAAAGGAAATTTTGAAAATGGTTAGAGGATAGTGGGAAACAGATTGCCACCAGCATAGTGGATCAGTGTAAGGCTTACTATATACATGCAGTTTGCAAACCAGACAAACCTAAAAAATGTTGTGATAATTATGCCCCACAAAATGATTATTTCAGCAGCTTAACTTACATGATGGATTTTGGTATAGATGTTTTTTCTATTTTTTTTTCCCTTGCAATAACAGAAAAAAATGATGTGTGTCAGTTCAATGTTCATGTAAAATCACCCAGGTGCCACTTTACTATCTTACCAACATACAAAGGTATTCTGCCCATAGTACTAGTAAACCAAAAATATTGTCTCTTGCCTTTTTCAAACATGCAAAAAATGAATTCATTGGCAAAAATTAAAAGTTACCCAGTACCAGCCAAACATATTAAATGTGACACAGATGACAAAATATGCACATACACTGATCTGCTTCCGTTTGGGTTACCACTGCAGCACCACATTCAGTGAATATAACACACTTGAGAGGTTGATAGAACTTTTGTGATAATCCAGTTAACTAAACTTAGTCATTCAGGATTGCTGAGTTCTTATGGAGTCCATGATTGACGGCTAGTGCTCCACTAATTTGTCAGAACAGCAACTATGCTTGCAAAATGCATGGTATCATCTGGACCAGTAATGATTATGCTCTCTCAGTATGACTGAGTGACTGATATAGCTTGCAGCCGCTGGCCCAGGGCAGTTTGCCAAATTACTGGAGCAGTGGCGATGCCAAAGATCAACTTACTGTATTCATATAGACTCTTGTGAGTATGATGGTTGTTATATTTTCCTTTATAGATATAGATAGGACCCAAGCAAGGTAATCTCTTAAAAACTCTCACTGTGCTAAAGAATCACAAGTGTCATCTTTGCGTGGGATTGGATATTGATCTATACGTATTATGGGATTCAGTGACAAATAAGTTCTTTGCCTGTTGTCTTTTTTCCAAAAGATACTGTTAGCATTGCCCAGTCACATCAGTTCTTTACAGCTAATATTCCTTGGTGTACCGAATACTGAAACACTGCTTAGATTTTAAGCCGTATACAACATGACTTGCCTGTGAAACCTTGGTCTTGCGCTCTCTTCAAGCTCAGTCAATCCCCTCCCTCAACACTGAATCTCTTTACAGTATTTCTGACACAACTTCTATTCTGTTTGGCGCATGGCCTTTATGATAGGTTTGTAGCTTAAACCTATTCACTGGAACGTTGAAGACAATATAATTACACAGCAAAGCAAGACACGAAGTAGGCAAAGTTC